GTCTAATTTTTAGATTTCATGTGAAGGGGGGGTCATTGAATTTTTTTGTAATGCAGGGGTTGGGGCAGGACATTTTGTTTAGTTGTTAATTGAATTTTGCCAGCCCACCCCCAGTAATAAATAATGAATGGTTCCCAAGTGCGTAATTTCAAATTATATATATTGCTGAGAAGTGTGCGTGAGTACTGGCTGTCTCTGCTTAATATGCTGTTTACGTGTGTTAACAGAAATGTTATTAGATATTAACTATCAATGTACGTGCGGTATTTGGTCATACGTTTGTATTGTTTTCCACGACTAATTTTGTAAAACAGAAAGCGACCATGACATTATCTAAGTATATCTGCCCTTCAGCTCAGTCCGGTTCACTGTTTTCTAGATCTTCGAGAGTATTATTTAAAATTATTATTTAAAAATATATAAAAACGGTAGCCCTTCAATCCTAATATAAGCCATAGCGGACAGTCACGTTCACAGAAGCTCCAACACAAGTTTTAATAATCACACTGCTAGTTGGGATTCCAATATTATAAATGAGTCAATTAAATCAGAGAGTATTACGTACGACGGAACGAGGGTAAAATGATGTAAAGATTACGAACCATTGAAAATTTTTATCGAGGCTGCTTTCGGCTTAGACGGGAAATGGCGGTCTTTCTGAGGAAGCTCGAAGAAGTTTGATGCTGCAAACGCCGACTTCAGTACGATATGGTACCCAGGTAAACTGAATACTCTTATATTTAACGGCAAAATAGGCAAACAAGCAAAGGAAACCCTGATCAATCGCTGCGAGTTGTCTTCTATGAGTGATGTCAAAAATACAGTAAATCCTAAGGGCAATTGTATTATTGATGAATCAAACACTACGAGCGCGCTTGGCTGGTATAAGAATGGAAAGGCGGTTATTGATGCTCCTGTAAGTTAAATCAATTGAAATGCAAATTCAGAACGACGACCAGAACGATGAACGATGTTCAAATAATGGGTACCATACAAAGCCACAAGACAAAGCTAGATCTGTGCCCGTTGCAAATCCTGATAAACTAAGGTCGCGCAAAAAAAAAAAAACCGGATCGACCAAAGTCCCAACAACCTGAAAACATGCATACGAAATCCTCGAATTGGTTAAATTACCTACCGCTTTTTGAAGTACCGAGTAGAAAATAAAGTGACAAAATTGAGAATAAAAAGGAAAAGATTAATAAGGAAAATTTTCCTTCTCGCGCTGGTAACAAGTGCAGTTACACCGAGTACCATTTTCCCACAAGGAATTATTACCCTCCCTTTCGGAAACACCGTGGAAGTTGACACTCAACCCACCCACCGTCTTACCAAGATCGGAGGGAAGATTGGCTGAATTATCTGGTTTTTGTTCGCCAAGGTCTGAGGACTTAAACAATCCTAATAAGACTGTTAGTCTCTGCTTGCCAAGACTAATGTAGCGGAGGCCGATGGCAATAACATTGGTGAATCGATCCTGAAGAGAAAAAGGCTCTGTTTTGTTCCTTCGTTTTTATTGTCAAACTGCATGTCTATAGTGCAAAAAATTAATGAAGTTTCCTTTTTTATAAAACAACATGATATAGAAATCGCAATGTTTAGTGAAACTTGGTTAAAAGATTCAATTCCTGACGGGCCAATAGAATTAGGGATTACCGCTTTTTTAGACGTGATCGCGAAATACGAGCACATGGAGGAGTCTGTATATATGTAAAAGAATGAATAGAATCTAAAATGCTATCGGAATTTCACAATGACGAGCATGAAGTACTTTGGCTATTATTACGCCCTAGGCTTTTTCCGCGCGGGTTTTCGAATACTAACGTCGCCTGCTTATATCATCCGCCCGACGCTGATAATACGACCATGAGCGAATATCTAAATTCCACATTAGAGATGGTCCAGACCCAATTTTCAAACAGTGCCATAATACTGGCTGGAGATTTCAATAAGCTAAGCTTTAAAACTGCAGCTAGATGCTATGAATTAAAGCCTACAATAAACTTCCCTACCAGAGGTTCGAACACTCTAGACCAAATATATACAAATATACAGGACTACTATCAACCTCCAACTAAAAATCCTCTGTTTGGGCTGTCAGATCATATAACTATTACTGTATTTCCAAAGTACGTGAAAGATCGAAACTACAGAGGAAAACTATTAGAATTCGTCCAAAGAAACGCAGCACAATCGAAACTCTCTGCCGATTCTTCATGAAGATCCCGTGGACTAACCTGCTGTTTAAAGCCCAGTTTAGCGACGAAAAGTTGAATATATTTACTGAAATAATACGATACGGTTTGGACACGATTATGCCTGAGCGTTGTATTAAAGTCCACGAAACGGATAAACCTTGCATAAATGCTAACTTAAAACAACTTATAAAGAGACGACAAAAAGCCTTCTCCTCGGCTGACGTGTTTCTTCATAAATTGTTGCGAAACAAAGTTAACCGTGAGAGGAAAAGGTGTCGAATGATATACTACAAGAACAAGGTACAAGATCTACAGCATACCAAACCCCGTGATTGGTGGCGAGAAATAAAGCAGTTTTGTGGCACGTCTAAAGTAGCGAGAAGAGATATTCGGAGATATTACAGAGTAGTGATCAAGATCTGGCTAATGAAATTATGAAAGCCTTTATTGTTAGTGTAATGGACAATTATACGCCGTTATCGGAGGACGTATGCGTGTTGACGGACCATGATGAACCAATTGTAGTGGACGAGGAGTCAATCGCGAAAAAAACTTCGGCAGATCAACATATCAAGAGCGGGAGGCCGCGACGGTATATCCAATTGGGTTTTAAAAACATTCTCTGATATATTATCCCCAGCCATCACAAACATAATTAATGCATCCTTTCGGGAATCAAAAGTACCTCGTGTGTGGAAATTGGCCAATGTTACACCTTTACCAAAAACAGTTGCCATTGAAGAATTCAATAAAGATCTAAGACCAATCTCATTAACATCGAGGAGGAAATAAGACCTAATCAATTTGGTTTTGTGCCCAATTCATGTACTATTTTTGCTTTAATTTCGATGTTACATCGCTGGTTGGAAAACACGGATGGCACTGGTTCGTGCGTCAGGGTTGTACTTCAGGATTACAGAAAAGCATTTGACTTAGTGGACCACAATATTCTAATTGCCAAACTTTTTAGCCTTTGAGTCAAACCGACAGTTGTAAATTGGATTGCTGACTTTCTACCTTGGAGATCACAGCGTCTAAAGCTTAATTCGGATTGCTTTTCAAATTGCGAAATAGTTCCAGCTGGAATTCCGCAAGGTACTAAGATTGGTCCTTGGCTATTTTTAGCGACGATAAATTATTTAGAAAAACCTGGTAACTCCTCTGATTTGTGGAAATTTGCAGACGACCCTACAGTTTGCTGTTCGAACGAAAATAATTTTCAGTTAAATTCTCTGAAATGTAAAGAGCTCCGCATTGACTTTACTAGACATCGACATATAGACGACCCAATAACTGTCAACGACCTAGCTTTTGAAGTCGTGCAATCTGCAAAAATTCTTGGTGTAACTATTAGGGAAGATCTTAAATGGAATGATCATGTAACCGAGATTACCCATAAGGCATCAAAGCGGCTATATCTTCTAGGAATATTAAAAAGAGCAGGTGTGGACGTAAATTCTTTAGTGCAATTCTACTGTACGTGCAGCCGATCAACTCTAGAATATGCCTGCCAGACATTTCATAGCAATTTGCCAGAGTATTTGTCTAATCAAATTGAAAGAATACAGAAACGAGCTCTTCGCATGCTCTACCCAGAGGAACGTTATGGTGACGCGTTAAAATTAACAGGCCTACAATCATTGGCGGATCGAACAGACAGACTATGCAGAGAACTTTTTAACTCAGTGTCGATTAACAATAACCATAAATTAGCGGATTTACTACCACCACTAAATTCAAATAATAAAAATCTTAGGTCCACTTCAAAATATGACTTGCCGGTTTTGAAGACGAATCGTTTTAAAGACAGTTCTATTAACTATTACGCTTCAAAAGTTCAACGATAAGACTCTAATAATTTTTTGTAGTTGATATTTTTAATATTATTCATATTCTTAATATAATTCATACATATCGATATTCGATATTCTAATGTAAGTTTTAGTATTGCATGCATAATAGTTAGTAGAAGTAGGATTTAAATTACTTTGTAATTGACACGTAATTCAGTCCCTGGACAGCGATGTGAAAATTAAAATTCTCTCACTCTCTCTCTCATTTCATAAAGGAGATGCAAAAGATCTTTTAAATAACTACAGACCAATTTATGTTCTAAGTGCTGTGAGAAAAATCTTTGAACGAATCGTTTATGACCAGTTGCAAACATACCTTAAAAATAAAAATGGCCTTATTTATAATAAACAGTCTGGATTTAGGCCAGTTCACTCCACCACAAGCGCACTTTTGGACGCAACTACAGAATGGTTAAGCAATATGGATAAAGGTCAATTGAATTCTGAAGTGTTTCTTGATTTGGCGAAGGCATTTGATACCGTGGATCATGAGATTTTGTTGAGCAAACTTCAGATTTATGGAGTTGATTCAATGAGTCTCAATTGGTTTAAATCGTATCTATTTGACCGAAAACAAAAATGTAATGTAAATGGTCTAGTATCGAGTGAGCGCTCGTTGCTATGTGGGGTACCTCAAAGATCTATTCTTGGTCCTTTGCTATTTCCTGTTTACATTAATGACCTTCCTTCTTGTCTGCAACATTCTACAGCACGAATGTATGCGGATGATACAAATATAACTACAACTAGAAAGTCGATAAAGGAAATAGCATCTGGAGCCAATACAGATCTTGAAAATATTCGCATATGGCTTCAGCACGTTTTAAAATTTTCCATCTGATAGAGTAACTAATGTTAAGATTTAGCACGTTTTAAAATTTTCCATCTGATAGAGTAACTAATGTTGTTGTTCTTAAAATTCCAGATGTATTTACTTAATTCAGTAGAGTTGCGCTTCTCACAGTTATTAAATGAAGCTTTGTAATTGGTGTATCGGGTTTTGAATTCATTTTCTGTTAGTCCAACATACGTTTGAGTGGGCCGCTTGCCAGATGTTTTTACTGTGGCTTGGTACATAACAGATTTTTAAGACAATTTTTTGAAATAGGGCATTAACTTGGTTTTTGGCAAATGCACTTTTTTTCATCGGGGGTTTCAGCTCGGTGGAATAGCTTGGATTTGTTATGATCCGTCGATGTTTTGTTTAAAATTGTACATGCAGCTGTAGCTAATCTTGACGGTATTTCTATTGAATATCTTGTGTAAGATATGGCCTGCGGGAATTCCTCGTCTAAAATCTTTAAAAAGGTCTGACCAACATTAGTAGCGACATTTTTGCTGAACGGTGGGTTGTACCAGGTTATATTTCGTTTCCGACTCCTTGAGTTGATGGTATTTTGGGATGTCGGAGGTTGTTGGTATTTTAATTTATGTTGATAACCGCACTTTGTTAGGGCTTCTTGGTACAATGGCACTGCACGCTGAAACGAGTCCTCGTCAGATGAAATTTCGGAAAGGCGTTTGTTGATCGCGGCTGGTATGTTGTCTAGTATTTTGGGTGGATGGTTTGAGTTGTTGTGGACGTAGAGTGGCACATTATTGGGTTTAGTAAACGGCTGGTACTTTTGGGTAGACAAATTTTGGGTGACGTCTAAAAAATCTACTATTTTCTTTTTGGCGTCGATGTAATTTTTAAGCTATGATTGTTGAAGACGGAACAGATATCTTTCTCAATAATTTCAATTTGACGGGGGGTTGCTATTATAACACCAAGCCCGTCATCTCGATAGAGGCCAAAATTCTCACCGTGTTTTTGGGTGATCTGATGTAACAAAAATGATCCGACCAGCTCGCACGATTCTGCCCTGTCATAACTACCCATAGTTACGTCAAACAGGTTGGCTGATGTTTTTTTTCCCCAGTGTTTTCTAGAATTATATAGGAATGATTTCCTTGCATGCAGAATAATATTTCTTTCATCATCCGTGATGTCATCATAATTTGAGGCGAAATCTAGCGCTGCGTTGAGAAGGTCGATTGAAATAGATGGGTAGGATATGCACTCACAGTAACATCGCAAACATATTATTCACCTGAGTACACAACACCAACACAGAAAAATTCAGATGGGTAGAAGTCAACCACATCAAAAGCAATAAATGAATATTGATCTTTGTTCGGAATGTTATTGAATCATGTTAACACAGATGTGGTGTTTTTCCACTGGTTGACTCCAATATATACTTGCAATTACTTTTTGGTTGATTCGATCAAGAAGAAGTTTGCTTACTTTGCCAATTTCTGATTTAGCTGAGTTAATAAGGCGACAGGTAGAATTATTTTTGAAGTTAAGTTTATGATTTTTTAAGGTGATAAACGCTTCACGCTCGGCTGTAATATTAATCCTGTCATAATTTACAGTGTATATATATATATACACCGTAAATTCAAAAGAGTAGTTTTGACTCCTTCAAAGGAGTAGTTTTTTGACCCCAGGACTACCCTTTCAAAGGAGTCGTTTCAGTCCCTTCGGCGCTTAATCTTCGAAAGGGTAGATTCTACCCTTTTCAGAGGGTAGTTTTAACTCCTCAAATGGTAGAAGCGTTACCCTTCGAAAGGGTCGTTTCAGCTATTCGAAAGGGTCGTTTCAGCTATTTAAAAGGATCGTTTCAGCCATTCAAAAGGGTGGTTTCGGCTATTCAAAAGGGTGGTTTCGGCTATTCAAAAGGTTGGTTTCAGCTATTCAAAAGGGTCGTTTCAGTATTCAAAAGGGTCGTTTCAGCTATTCAAAAGGGTGGTTTCAGCTGTTCAAAAGGGTGGTTTCAGCTGTTCAAAAGGGTGGTTTCAGCTGTTCAAAAGGGTGGTTTCAGCTATTCAAAAAAGTCGTTTCAGCTATCCAAAACTCTCCGTAAAATTTTTGTCATAAGCTGTTACACATCATCACAATATTTAGGTACGATTATATGATATGTAAATGATTTCTAACATTCACATTAACATTCACGTTTCGTGTAACATAGCATTCAGTGCAGAAAATAAGATGGGACGTAATTAAACAGACAAATTTATCTTTAATACGTCACTAAATGCTAATTATATACAAACATAAACGTAAAGAGAATGCATTAAAGTCTGAATCCTTCACTGACCCAACAGAGTAAAAACTTGACTAACACTAAGAGGGATTTGGTTATTGAGTTCATTGCAAAGGTTGATTTCTATCTTTCTCTAAAAATATCATTGCACTTCTCTGGACTTTATATAAATTCAAATTGCATGTGTATTGGACGAGAAGTAACAGATTTAGACAGTCTAAGAGTTTGAATTCACGTAAAGCGTCACACAGCACTTTTCCTTTCCCAACAACAGACATATAACCGAAGTATCAAACACAGAGGTACCGGTACCACACAAAAGGATTGCAGGTGAGACTGTCGCTTCACATCACCAGTTCCCTACAAAACATATTGCATTTATTAATCAGTGCATAATATTCACAATTATAAATATTAATTTTGACACCATTCCTACTAGAACAGTTAATTACACTACTAGAAAATACATGCATGCAGAAACTGACAAAACCGTTGTATTTTCCGAACATGAAGTATCTAAAGCAGTTGTCATGGTAACACGATAATTATTTAAGAATATTCTTACATATGAAAATCGCCTAAAAATATCACTTTTAATTACAAAATTATCAATTTCCCAACATATATATAATAGGTATGTAATTATACGTAATACAAGCTTCAATTTAAGGTAAAATTCAACCACAAACAATTCACAAAACGTTTTAAAGTGTTCTTTATAAAACTAAACTGCCTTTTTGAGTTTGCAATAAAATGATTTCAAATTCTCGCTTGCAAATAACTTTGCTTTATTTTTTATTTAAAAAAATCAATATAATAAAAACGGGAATCAATATTAAAGATACACTGAAATTATATGCTGTCTTGTTTAGTTGTTTCATATACGCAAAGGCCGTCGGGTTTTAAAGCCATTATAAAATCAATATTTAAAACAAATTTACCTTCGTTAACATCGGCTCCCTTCTTTTAGCAGATTCTTTCGCCCTTTCTTTCCTGAAATTTACAAAATCTTGCAGAAATACGAGCAAAAATGAAGAATATTTGCAAGAAATTTATCAATCATCAACTCATCAAATCAAGAAATGTTTTCTATTTCGCCTGTGCATTATTCTGTGGTTTCGCTGTCGTCATGCAGTCGTTAAAATGCAAACTTTAAATTGGACCAATCAGTGTCCGTTATTCAGTGTCCGTTATTCATAACAACATAGTTGGTGACCGACGCCCGCGCTCATTGATGAACTTTAGACTTCGCTAATGCTTTCGTTTCCCCGGGTGTAAATAGCCGGGGGGAATTACTACCCTCACACGGCGCATCGCGCCGCCGGCTCGGGGATAACTCAACTTTTGCTTTGAAACCATAAATACTGACAATTATTTACCACAATGGCAGGTAAGTTTAAAATTAGTTCTCTTTTACGTTGAATCAAACTTGAATACACAAATGACACTTGCTCTAGGCCTGGGGTCCGACGTGGTAAATTAAATTTAATCAAACTACTATGCACTATATATAACTAATAACTAAACCACACCACTGCATATAGTTACTCAAAAATGGACAATTTTGCACATTAAAGCACTACTGTATACAGGCAATTGTATGAATAACAAAGCTGAATGGTACAAACTAGGAACTGTTATAGTTCAAGAAATCATTTTCAGGTGGCTTCAAACAGTTATAATTTAATGTTTCGACAGCCACTTGTGTGTTGAATTATTAAAGAGTTAAGACCATCACATCTTGGTACCATTAATGCTAATAGTATGGTACAGTATGATTTAATTGGTTTACAATGGCATTGCATGACAGCATTACCGATTAAAAATATAAATAATGCTTAACCCATTAAGCACCAGAGCTCTCCCCTTGGCAAGTAAATCGTATGGCGTTAAAGAGAGAAAAATAATAAAGCAGGGCGCAATGGGTCTCAATGGGTTAACCTACATCAAAAAGAAAAATATTAGTAAACTTACATTAAGAATCACAAAAAAAAGCTTGCCTGTCTTGTTTTGGTGGGTCTGTCTTGTTGTGGTGGGTCTGTCTTGTTGTGGTGGGTCTGTCTGTCTCCCAGTGCATGCACAGCAAAAAATCATTTTCTTATTTTAAGAAGAAAAAAAACTTGTTTTAAGAAAATTTTCTTGAAATAGGAAAATATTTTCTTGGGAAAATAACAAGAAAATTTTCTTAATAAGAAAAATTTTCTTAAGAAAATTTTCTTATTAAGAAAATTTTCTTGAGAGAAAATTCTTAAATTGAGAAAATATTTTCTTATTTTAAGAAAATATTTTCTCAAATCAAGACATTTTTTTTCTTAATAAGAAAATTTTCTTATTTCAAGAAAACTTTTTTCTTGGGAGAATAACAAGAAAATTTTCTAAGATAATAAGAAAATTTTCAATAATAAGAACATTTTCTTAAAATAAGAAAATAATTTCTCAAAACAAGAAATATTTCTTAAAAAGAATTTTCTTATTAAGAATATTTTCTTGTTATTCTCCCAAGAAAAAAATTTCTTGAAATAAGAAAATTTTCTTAAAATAAGAAAATAATTTCTTATTTTAACCCTTTGCCGCATAGATTTATTTTTGGAAAAATGCTGTTTTTCCAATAAGTGGAAAAGA